AAAGTTTTCTGTCGGACTATCAGTGTACATGGATACATTAAAAAATAAATGTATTTTTCATCATCATATATACTGTTTTTGTCGCTCAAATGAATTTTATTATTTCTTCAAGGTTCTTCACATGCGCACAAGTAGGTGTAACATGTTCTCAAAAAATTAGGGTTGGCACGCAGAAGAATTTTGAGTCAGGGATTTTGCTGGTTTGGGCACGCACTCACAAAAAGGTTGCCCACCCCTGCTCTAAGCAATGAGCTTACATGAGAATTGACTAATCTGTGAGGCTGAGATGAGAAATGTGTGAGTGTGTGAGTGTGTGTGTATGTGTGTGTGTGTGAGAGTGTGTGTGTGTGTGTGTGTGTGTGTAGTGTGCAATGGGTGGGACGGATCCGGGCTCCTGGGGAAGCCTGTGGAAAGAAGACACTGAAGGCAAGTAGGAGCTGCAGGGGGTGGAGGTGGGGGACGGGAAGAGATCCTAAATCCCAGTGAGAAGGAGGGAAGGCCCGGGATAATCAGGAACGACTGGCAGGTACCTGAGAGCGGGGGAGAGTCACGGACAGGAGAGTCGCGAGGGGCAGGTGTGGGCTGAACCAGGCAATACTGGGAGACTCGCAGCTCTGTGCTGGGCCGCTCCGCCTGTGACCTTCCTTCTTGGGGCCTTAGGTTTGAAAAAGCCTAGTCCCCGACCTGGAGCCCACCTGGAGCAGTGCCACGGGGCGGCTGGGAGAGGCGAGTGGGCACCCAGAGCCCGAGGCCCTCTCTCTCCAGCACCTCCCTGCAGCGTTCCTTCGCAGGCAGAGCGGCAGAGCAGGGGGCCGGCTGTCTCCCCACCCGACCCCCCCACTCCGGCCCCGCTCCAGCCGCAGTTCCCAACGGCCCCGAGGGGCGGGGCCAGCAGTGCATGAGCCCAGAATCAGTAACCAAAAGACCAGAGTTCTTAGCTCAAGACCTTGTGCATCCATTAATCCTGAGATGCCGTCCTTTCACAGGCTGCAACCAGCACTCCCTCCCAGCCGGCGTGTCAGAGTCCGCATTTCTCCTGGTGCCACACAAAGTCAGGCTGAGTCTCTTCAAGCGGCGTCACCGGTTTGGTGAACAGTCTGGAGACCCGGGCTGTGGCCTCCTGCACGGAGCTGACTAAACGCAGGGCGGCCAGAACCTACCGGCGCTCTCAGGACCCCCTTCCGGAGAAGCCGCTGCCCTGACGCCTTCGTGGACTCTGAACTTTCCTGGGAAAAGAGCATTTGTGTCCTGTTCTTGTCAGAGGCTCACAGACTAATCTCAGCTGTGAATTTCGCCATCTTCGTTTGACAGAGGCTCTCAAACTCTGAAGAATCACCTGGCCAAAGAATTCCTCACAAAACCACTGGCTCACAGGCTCTCTGACTTTCAAAGTACATGCAGGACAAGAACCATGAAGCCCTGTTCATACACACCCGGCCGGTGTGGCTCAGCGGTTGAGCATCAACCTATGAACCAGGAGGTCATGGTTCGATTCCCAGTCAGAGCACCTACCCAGGTTTCGGGCTCGATCCCCAGTGTGGTGGTGTGCAGGAGGCAGCCGATCAATGATTCTCTCTCATCATTAATGTTTCTATTTCTCTCTCCCTCTCCCTTCCTCTCTGAAATCAATAAAAATACTTAAAAACAGAAAACAAACAAAAAAAATGGGCACAGGACTTGACTAGACATCTCTCCAAAGAAGACACGGGAATGGCCGATAAGCTCATGAAAAGATGCTCAACATCACAATCACCAGGGACACGCAAACCAAAACCGCAATGAGACACCACGCGCACCCGCCAGGACGGCCGTCCGCCGAGGCGCAGGAGTGAGTGCTCTGAGCACGTGCAGACCTTGCAACCCTCTGGCAGTGCTGGCCGGATGTCAAACGTTGCGGCTGCTACACAGGACAGCGGGTCCCCCCATAACGTCGTTTCATTCCTAACACTGATGCCGCAGGAACTTATCTCATTTATAGCAATTAGCCTGTGGTGCAATGGGTTTCATTATGCTTGCTTCATTTGAAGTCGGAGAACCTATCTAAGCCATGAAGTGCGGACTTACTGAACGGTGGTTCCTCGATAGATGAACGACGGGGCCCAGCAATTCCACTTCCGGCTGTGTAACCAAGAACGGAAGCAGCGGCTCAAACAGACGTGTGTCCACCCAGGTTCAGAGCAGCATTATTCACAACTAGGAGGTGGAAGCAACCCATGGGCCCACTGTGGATGAGGGATAAACAAAATGCGATCCATCCATCCAGTGAGGTACTACTCAGCTTCAACAGGAAGGGAAGTGACCGGTTACACATAAGGGAACCGTGAGGGCATCAGGCTAACGGAGGTGAGGCAGTCCCTGAGGACACACGCTGCAGGATTCCACTCTCCGAGGTCCCTGGAGCAGTCAGACTCAGAGACAGAAAGTAGGATGGTGGTTGCCAGGGGCTGGGAGGAGTGGGCACTTTTGCAAGATGAAAAGTAATTCTGGGGATGGTTGGTAGCGATGATTGTACAACCATGTGCCACTGAACTGTATGTATAAAAATGATAAAGTTTGTTATGTATGTTTTACACAATTAAAAATTAATTTTAAAAGATTACATGTGGGACCAGCTGGTGTGACTCAGTGGTTGAGCGATGGTCCAGGAACCAGGAGATCGCTGGTTCGATCCCCGATCAGGACACGTTTTTCTATCTTCTCTATCCCTCTCCCTTCCCCTCTCTCTAAAAAACAAACAAAATTTTAAAAATAAAACAAAATTTTAAAAAATACAAAATTACATGTGGCAGAGACTTTGTTTCTTCACGTCCCAGAATCAAGCGGCAAACCAGGACCTGCTGTGAGGCCTGCCAGACACGCAGTTTGGATCACGTAGGCGTTTGAACCTGACAGCCTCCGGGAGGAACCCGTGCTCTCCAGGCAGCCGACGCCCCGGACTCCATCACCTCACCTGCCCGGCCGGCTCCTGAAGGCACTTGAGGTTGGACCCGAGTGAAGGAAGAGAATCTGCAATGCCTGTTACTTTTCTAGTGGCCTCTGCTGCCCGGGCCTGGGGCTCTGCATGGACCGAGTTGGGGGGAATCAGGTAACAGGACACGGAGGACAGTAACGCTGTCCCACGAGTCGCCTCCACATCCCAAACCAGTGATGGCGAACCTTCTGAGCTCAGCGTGTCAGCATTTTGAAAAACCCTAACTTAACTCTGGGGCCATGTCACATATAGAAATTTTTTGATCTTTGCAACCACAGTAAAACAAAGACTTATATTTTTGATATTTATTTTATATATTTAAATGCCGTTTAACAAAGAAAAATCAACCAAAAAAATGAGTTCACGTGTCACCTCTGACACACGTGTCATAGGTTCCCCATCACTGTCCCAAACCCATGCTGTCAGCTGGGGCCCAAGTGGCCAGCTCTGGACAATGAACCCTAAACAGAAATGACCTGTGTGTTGTGGGGTTACTCGGCTGAAGCAACAGGTGATGTCCCCCAGGGTGGAGCCTTCACTGGCCTGAGTCCCCAAGAGACAATGTTAAAAGCACAGGCCCCAAATGTCCTATAACGGAAACGTCGTGCGACCAAGTCAGCAAGAGATATAAGCCTTTTTGTTGAACCCCTGGGATCTGGGGGTTCGTTTGTTACTGCAACATAACCTTGCTTATTCTCACATACACATGGTGCATGATGGGAACAGAGGGTTACCACAGAGACCGCAGCCCTAGAGCCACACTCTATGCTGAGAAACCTCAGAAAAAGCACATGCTTTCTCCGGGCTTTGGTTCCCCATTTTTATCTAGAAAAACAGGAACTTCATATTGTTCGACCGAGGGAAGGAGACAGGTACTGCTGACTAGTCCAGGAGGGAGATCTGCGCTCTGCAACCTCCCCGGTCTGATCTCTCGGGGTCACCCATGGCTTCCCGGGCTGGACTCGAGGGGAGGAGGAGCCCCTCTATGAATGGACCCAGTGTCAGGAACCAAGAAGGAGTGAGCTCACTCACTCCCCTCTCACAACTTCAGCTTCCTCTACAGCAGTGGTTCTCAACCTTCCTAATGCCGCGACCCTTTAATACAGTTCCTCATGTTGTGGTGACCCCCAATTTCACTGTTACAAATTGAACATAATTAAAGCATAGTGATTAATCACAAAAACAATATGTAATTATATATGTGTTTTCCGATGGTCTTAGGCGACCCCTGTGAAAGGGTCGTTTGACCCCCCCAAAAGGGTCGCGACCCACAGGCTGAGAACCACTGCTCTACAGGGACAGCCTGAGACCCCAGCCCCTTGTGGAAATGGTGTTCAACACTGACCTTGACCTCAGCCTGTCTTGGGAGCCCTCACCCACCTAGAAGGCCTCTACCCAGAGCTGGGAGCTGCAGAGGGCACTGGACCCACCCACTTAGCACGGACTGTCAGAGTGTCTCCCAGGTGAGGGAGGCCGGTGGAGGCCAGGGCACCGCCTGGGCACTGAGGGCATCAGCAGGACAGACCCGACACACGTGGACTCTGGGGGGGGCAGACAGCACTGAGCTTTATTTCCAAACACAGCAGACAGAACGCCCTGGCCTCCCACCCGTCACCCCTTCTGAGCCCAGGAAGGGGACAGGCCTGGGCCTACCCACCGGCCCCACCTAGGAGGGTGGGGCCTGAGTCCACCTCTAGCTGAGGCCGGGCAGGGCTCCCTTCTCATGGGCACCCCCATGGGTACGCCTGCCAGAGGGAAGAGGCTGGAGGCGATGGCAGGAACACTGTCCTCCAAGTGGCCAGTCCTCAGGTCGTCCACCAGGGTGCGCGGGCGGGGCTGGGGCGCCTGGGGTTCTGACCAGATCGGGGTGGGGGACGGGACGCGTACTGACTGGGCCTGGATGGTGAATAAGGTGGTGTCAGAGGGGGCCACTGTGGCGGCAGGTCACCCCAGCTCCAGCCTCATCCCCTTCGGGATCTTAGAGTTGGGGTCACCTCCTTGGGAGGGATGGGTAGCCAGTGTGGAGGGCTGGATCCTGGAAGGGTGCCTTGGGTCAGGGCCAGGAGATGGGGATGGGTCCCTGCCGGGAGACACCCAATCCTGCCCCTAGGACTCTGCAGTCCCCAGGCCCGCTCCAGGCACCTGCCCCTCCCAGGGTGCCCCAGACCATACCAGGTGGGAAGGGCCGGCCGACAGCGGCTGGTGCTGGGCCTCGGAGGTGACACAGGACCAGAGGTCCAAGCTCTGGGGGCCGGAGCTTTTCTCGGGTTTTGGAGGGAGAATGTCCCAGCCCAGCAGACAGTGCTGTGGAGAAAAGGAGGTCAAGGCCCTGACCTGGGGCAGGGCTCCCCCAAACTGTCACGGTACCCCCTGGAGACGGAGGCTCCCCCAGGGCAGGGGCTGTGTCTACCCACTGGGCCTCCCTTTTCCTGACCCTGCTGACCCAGGCCCTGGCGCCAACCCAGAAGGCGGAGGAAAGGCTGCGGACACTGACGAGCACTTCCTGCTGGGCTCGGCCCCACGCCCGGACTGGTACCGATTCCCTCAACTGCCCCACCTCACCACACAAGCCTGAGGACGGTATGTTGTGCCCATTTTACAGATGTGCAAACCGACTTTCCTTGGCATCCCATCTCCTCCCCCCGGCCCAGCTCCCCCGGCCTCAACTGGGAGTGACTGGGGTCCCCCAGCCAGGAGACACGAAGGATGTGATGGAGGCACTATGCAAGCATAAGGGCTGGGGTTCCAACCCCAGCTCTTCCACCTGCTGACCTCGGACAGTCACCGCCCTCTGCCTCAGCGAGCTCGTCTACAGCGTGGGGCGGCCGCAGAGCCAGTGCTCTCGGCTGCTGCGGGCTCCGTGAGAGGGTCCTCCTCAGGACCGCGCACCCACACGGGAGCTGATACACGGGGCCCATTTACACCAGCAGGTGGCAGACCCTTCTGGATGCGGGGTGAGGGTGGGGTGCCCCACACCCCCGAACAAGCAGAGCACAGGTGATGGAAGTGGCCTGGCCTGGGCTCCAGAGATCTGGGTGCCCATCCTCCTCGAGCTCAGCCTCCCTGGGTGGCCTTGGCACAGTCCCTGGCCCTCTCTGGGCTCCAGCCCCGCACCCACCCCCATCCAGACTCCCTGTGGCTGCTCACCCGGGGCAGGGACAGCATATCGGAGGCGTCGAAGCTCTTCCGCCGGTGGATGCGGTAGCGGTGGGGTGGGTCCAGGATGGACTGTGGGATGCTCACCCTGGGGGGTGACGGGGGGGTGGGGGACATTACCACAGAGGTTTCCTGGCTACCGGGGGGTCACAGCCCCAGGCCCATCGTTCCTTCCCTCAAACCAGTGGGCTCCCAGCTCTGACTCCCTCCTCAGCTCCTGCTGCTCCCAAAGGTGCCCCCAGGTGCCCTGCCTGCTCCGGCCACTCACCGGACCTGCGCTGGGTCTGCCAGTGTCGTAGGGCCCCGCTGGTCCCGGGGTGTCCTGCACAGGCGGCAGGGGGTGCCAGGGTCCGAAGGCACCAGGAACAGACGCCGGTTGACACGGTAACAGTACACACCTGGAGGCCCAGCAGAAGTAGCAGTGCCTCAGCCCAGAAGCCTAATCCCGAGGCCCCTGCTGCCCACAACCACACAGGCCCGCCGACCCTTCCAACTGCCCTCCGCCACACGCACAGGCATGTACACACATGCGCGCACAGCATGCACACAGACTTATGCTCACACACAAAACACAGAGCACCACTTCCTCAAGCATGACACACATGTGCACACAACCGCACACTGGCCAGCACCTTCGCATGTGGAAATGTCATGTGTGCAAACACAAAGCATGGCTTTAGCCACATTTGTGGACACATGCACGTGCCTATATTTGTAATCACACATACACAGGGTGCACACAGAGTCATGTTCACATGAACATCCCTTACACACATATGTACAGTGTACGCTACACATGCAAATTCACAGCAGACTTATGTGTTCACATGACTGAGCCGGGAACCTCCCCCCACAGGCAACTCATGTCCACACGGGAGAGGAGGGTGCGGGAGTGGGAGCACACAGGAAATGAGGCAGCTGGGAAGCAAATGCAGGCTGCAGGGGAGCGGGGAGGCGGGGTGACACAGGGCTGACCCTAATCCCCATGAGGCCGGGCCCCAGCTCCCTCACCTCCCACCCAGGGCCTGCTCCACCCTGTCCGGACACCAGGCTCCCCTCCCTGATCCCCAACACCCAGCCGCCTCCCCAGGCCCCCGCGACCTCGGCTGGGCTCCAGGGCGGCCCGCGGGGCATACACTCACATTCGTGGTCTTCCTGGGCACTGTCGCTCTCCCGCCGGCCTGGGAACTGGGGTCTATGAGAGCGAGAGGGTGAACAGGCCAGCGACAGGGAGGGTCCCTGTGCTGCCTGCCCACCGCTGGCCTGCCCCTACTCACTCGGGCTCACTGTGAATACACTCCTCCTTGTGGGTCTCCCGGAACTCCTGCAGCTTCGAGAAGAAGGCCTCGGGCTTGCTGCTGATGGGTGAGCTGTTGTCCAGAGACCCTGAAGTGGGCAAAGCACGGGGAGCTGCTGTGCGGCCACTGGCCAAGGCTCAGAGGACGCTCAGTGCTGGCACCCAGTCCACCTGCTCTGTCCCCACCAGGCCTCACAGACCTGAAGGGACCCTCCACTCACTGTGCCTGTTAGTTTTGCCTGTGTCCATCCACCTGATGCATATTGTCTAAGCACACAGTACTTACAGAACCCCTGCAATGGGCCAGACACCGTTTAATGTGCCGGGGAAAGAGCAGTGAACTAGACTAGACCAAGCTCCTGCCTCACTTACTAATATGGCGGCAACAGACAAACTAGTCGCCTAAGAGACATGCAATACAACACTGAGTGATGACGTGTGCCAGGAAGGAGCGAGCAGAGCTGGGGAACCCAGCTGGATAGGGCAGGGGTGCCAGGGGAGGCCTCTCTGAGGAGGTGACACCTGAAAGTGGGGAGGGAGCCACGTGGCCATCTCAGGTAGAAGAGCAAGTGCAAAGGGCCTGGGGCGGAAGTGTATCTGAGGAACAGGCAGGAGGTGAAAGCGGCTAGAGGGGAGTAAGGGGTGAGAGTGGAGGAGAGGAGGCTGGGAAGCCAGCAGAGGGCTTGGGGACAAGGAGTGGCATAATCAGATCGGCCATGTATTTTTGCCCTCTGGCTGCTACAAGGTGGGAGACGGGGGCACCAGTTAGAAGTGACTATAGGCATCCTGGTGGAGAGAAGTAATCAGAGGCTAGAAATATGCTGAAGGCAGGGCTACTAGGATGTGCCAATGGACTGGGAGAGGAATATGTGAAAAGGAGAGATGGAAATCAAGGTTGATCCCAAGGTTATGACCTGATGAGTTATTAGGTACTTAGAGTTGCCATTTGCAAAGAGAGGAAAGAATGCAGTGGGAAGAAAATCATCACCTTGATGTTGAACATGAAAGCAATCTAAGACACTGAATATGCCATACAGAGAAGGCAGCCAGGTACACAAGTCTAGAATTCAGGGCGGGAGGGGGGCAGAGATAAAAACAGGGGAGTCCAGGCAAGCACTCAAGCACCGCCTCCGTGCCTGTCACTGCGCCGGGGGCTGAAAGAAGGCGCTCACCAAGGAGGGAGGGCCATTCAGACACACCAGGCAGCACTGGGGGTGGGGGGAGCTTCAAGCAGGTGAGTAGGCAAGCTGGGGCCTCCCCTCCCCCCACTCACAGGCAAGGTGTGTGCATGGGGCGGGCCACACCTGCAATCCAGTCATAGCCCAGGTAGGGTCTGAGGCGCCAGCTCCTCTCAGGCACTGGAGACTCCTTGTTGAAGGTCACTCTTAGCTGACAAGGCAAAGACATCGGGTTAGACCAGCAGGCCCAGCACGAAGGAGGCCCCAGCTTGGGGGAAGCAAAGGGGTTGTGTGGGCCCCAAGGCTCAGCTGAGGGCTCAGGAATTGAAAGATACAGTGTTTGGTTCCCGCCCCTTTCTATGTGTGACTTTGAGTAAGTGTGGCCTCAGCCTTGGTCTTACCATCTGTATAATGGGGTTCCTCACTTTCTTTCCAAAGAGCTAAGAAACTAGCAACCACCACTTACCCAGCACTTAGGCCAGTGATGGTGAACCTATGACACGCGTGTCAGAGGTGACACGCGAACTCATTTTTTTGGTTGATTTTTCTTTGTTAAATGGCATTTAAATATATAAAATAAATATCAAAAATATATCTTTGTTTTACTATAGTTGCAAAGATCAAAAAATTTCTATATGTGACACGGCCCCAGAGTGAAGTTAGGGTTTTTCAAAATGCTGACACGCCGAGCTCATAAGGTTCGCCGTCACTGACGTAGGCTGAGCTGGACACAATCTGCGGTATCTCCCGGACAGCCTCTCACCTTGCAAAGAAGGCTGCCCATGAGTGCATTTGTCAGACAGGGAAACTGAGGATCCAGGGAGCACCCACCGAGGGATGCCCCGCTCTCCCACGGTACCTTGGGCAGCTTTCTCAGTTGATCCTGGATGGACCTCGGTGCCTGCGCCTCCAGCGCTGCTGATCGCTCTGAGTCACTCGAGTCTGAGGTGGCCAGCAACGGTGCCCCGCGGGGCCTCAGCGGGCTCCGGGGCTCCCTGACAGGTGGGAGAGAGAGCACCCCCGAGCTGGCCCCAAGAGAGGACATGTCGCAGGAGTCACCTTGGTTGGCATCCCGTGGAGAGGAGGTTCTCTGGGCCATTGAAGGCGTCTTTGGGGACAATGGCATCTCGGAGTCACAGCTGCTGCTGGAGTCCAGGCTTGACTAGAACAGAGAGGCCAGGTCACCCAGCCACCTCCCTAGCTGGCATGTGCTAGGCATAAAGGCCTGCGTTCCTGCTCCAGCCTCTGCTGTCCCAGGCCAGTGCCTCTGCCGGGCCTCAGTTTTCCCATCAGCCATCCAATGGGCATGCTGCACAGGACAACCCTGGAGGCCTGGGTTCTGGCCTGAGGGTTAGTAGCCCCCCTCATCTTCTGGGAGTTCCCAAGGTGAACACCCACCTCTGAGGCTGCCTTGGCCACCAACCGCCGCATGGCATCCTGCCCAACCCACAGCTGCCTCAGAAGCTCCAGGTTGAGCTGCCGCAGCTGCGCTAGGTCCTTGGTCTCCACCATCCCAGTCATATTCTCTGGCTTCCCACAGCCGATGTCGGATGTCGCTGACTCCCGGCTGAAGAGTGCCTTCCGGGCTGAGTTCCAGGCCCAGCTCTGCTACCTGCAGCCAAGACAGCATGACACGGGGCTGAGGAGGCTGCCCAGTGGAGGCACAGGCCTGGGTTCAAATCCCTCCACTCTGGTTCTCCCCAACTGTGCAGCCGCCGACAAATATTTAACCTTCCTCGGCCTCCGTTTCTTAATCTGTCAAACGAGACGGTAACAGTATCTACCTCATAAGGTTGTTGTAAGGATTAAATGAGGTCATGCATGTTACATGTTAGTACAGGTCCTGGCACACAGTGAGCATGCAATAAATGTCTGTTACTATTCATCTGGTCAGTGTGTTTCTCTACATGCGCAAAGAGAACAATCCCCCTTTAAAGACTTGAACTATGAACTTAGACCAGTTTGATTTATAGAAAGCAACTGGGGCAATTCTACAAATGTAACGCATTATAACTTGTGAATCCAACACATACCAGGCTCCTGCAGGGACTCTTTCCTCTCTCCTGCCCATTCTTCCTGTTTCCTTTTCTTTTTACAGATGAAGAAACCAAAGTTCAGAGAAGTTAAGCAACTTGCCCCATATCACACAGCCAGTAAGTGGCAAAATCAGGATTTGAACCTCAATCTAGCTCCGGGATCCACGGTCACACCAGCCTTTCCCCAGCAGTGTGGAGAGGCGCCTGGAAAGCTGCCTTTGCCACCACCCCCCCCCCCCCCTCCCGCCCATCCTGGCTCAGGGATACACAGATGCCTCTGGAAGGAGTTTCTGCAGGCTAGGGGAAGGGGCTCCCGGGAAAGCTGTTTCCCACCACCCCCACCCCCACCCCCCCAACCCATCCTGGCTCAGGGATACACAGATGCCTCTGGAAGGAGTTTCTGCAGGCTAGGGGAAGGGGCTCCCCACTTCCCTTCCATCCCCAAGGCCAGACTCCCCTCAACAGAAAGTCTCTCCCAATACACACTATCCCTTTTCAACCCTGGGTCCAGGGACGCGCACCTTCAGAAACCCTGCCCCACCCACACTCCTCGCCTGTGGACCGCCCACACCGGGGTGGGGCGGGGGCTCCCAGCACCCTAGAGCAGAGAGAAACCAGACTTACACTGGACACCCTACCCCTCACATATGCCCCGCAGGGAAGGGGGTACAGAGGGGATGCGATACCGAGGACCCTGTGGGGGAGTCTCCTATGCAAGCTCCGCAAACAGCCAGATCCGGGGACCGGAAGTCCCGGCGCCCGCCCTTATCTGGTCAGATTCCCCTCGGGATTAAAGAGAGCAGCCTGGCCTAGCCGGTTTGGTTCAATGAATAGAGTATCGGCCTGCGGACTGACGGGTCCCGGTTCGATTCTGGTCAAAGGCACATGCCTCCATTGCAGGCTGGATCCCCAGGCCTGGTTGGGGTGCGTGGGAGAGGCAATCAATTGATGTGTCCCTCTCACATCGATGTTTCTCTCTCTGTTTGTCTCTCCTCCTCCCTTCCACTCTCTCTAAAAAAAATCAAGGAAAAATATACTTGGGTGAGGAT